CCTGTTTTTCCAGAAACTCAAAACGGGATGCTGCCTAGAGGAAACAAATGGACCTAGGAATCAGCTCTGGGGGGTCACATGGTGGCTCCTTAATGTGTTGCCTGAGGATTTCTGAGCACTTTCTCAGGCTTTGTTTCTCCACCTGTCCAATGGGGATCATTACTCCTATGTTGCAGGAAGGCTCCCAAAATCAGAGGAAGGAAAGCAGCTGGCAGGGACAAGAGGAGGGCTGGGGTGATGGTGTGGAGCCCCAAATTTCCAGAAGCTCCCAAATGGCCCCAAGAGCACTGGCTCCAGGGTCTAATCCCAGAGGCTTAGGAGTAGTGGGGCTGTAGCTGAGGGAGTTTGTTGCCTTGACACAGAATAACCCAGAACCCCCAAATTGACCCACCTCCACCCCATGGAGATGAAGCATCCAATCCTTGGTCACTAAGGAGCCCCAGCCTTTCAGGGAAGCAGCAGGTGGGCCCCACAAATGTAACCCACAAACGACGTTAATGAGGCCCTTCCTTGCTACTTAACAGGTCCACATGACAGGAACCTGAAAAGGCCAGTCCCAGCAAGCCCCAGCAGGCCTGACCCAGGCACCAGAGAGAGGCCTTTGTCCAAGGGCAGAGGGGACGCTGAAGGTTGGGCTGGGCCTGAGCAGGAAGCCACAGGTAGAGGAGTGGGGATGGAGGGGCGGGGCCTTGGGGGCGGGGCCCGGAGGAGGCTGCTCACCAGACCAGCCCTCAGCTTCCCAGTTAGGGTTCGCTGCTCAAGTTTGGTCTGCAGACCCGCCCACGGACTTCACCTGGGGACTCTCAGGTCCCCCCCCCCACCCCGAACCTGCCGCATCAGAATCTGATCTTAACAAGGCTCCAGCCTACTGGATGCACGTCAACATTTGAGCTGCCCTGAGTCTTTTCACCTACCTGAGCCTTTTGACTGTTAACAAAGGTAGTTTTTAGCATGGTGCCTGGGTCAGTAAATAACTGATGATAATAATGATAATATTATTGTTACTGTTTCTAATGTATTGGCTGGGAGAGAAGGGGCACCCCAGAGCTGGTCTGCTGTGGTCAAGGAAGAGCCCGGCCCTCTGGAGTTGAACCACAGGGACGAGAGGAGCTTGGATAATGGGCGTGTATGTGTGCACTGACCTGCTGGCAAACTGCAGGGCACCTCCAGGGGACAGGAGTAAACAGCAGTCTCCTTCACACCCCTGCAAGGCCCAGGTCAGCTTTTGGGAGGCTGGTGCCAGCCTGCCCCAGGCAGGAAATGTGCGCTCAGCTCCAGGTGTTCACGGCTTCCTACCTTTCAGTCTGGCCTGAAACACAAGGTCAGGGGCCCCTGGGAGCGGGGAGGCCACAGCCAACAGCCAACCCTAGGGAGCGTGGGGGTTCCCTGGTCAGGAGCTGGCTACAGTTCCTGCACATTTATATAGACCTGCAGGGAAGGCCTAGCCCAGTGATTCTGAGTGGGACCCCAGGAATCTGCGTTTGTAATAAATGTCCTATGTAGTTGTGACAAAAGCAATTTACATTTGGAGGAACAAGGCAAGAAATAGAGGAGACCCATTGCTGGGGTGGGGTGGGGTGGTGCCGGGGATAAAGAAGGTGGGCTGATTCATCCAAGAAGTAAGGGAGGAGCCCAGAAGGACAGACAGCCTTGTTTCTGGCTGCAGCAGCCTGTCCCTGATCAAGGAATTTGCGAAGATCCACATCTCTGCTTTCTCAAGCATTTCGAAAACAATCGTGTGGCCTTTTAAGATCCCCCCCCCCCCGCCGTGGGCTGGTGGGGGGAGGCACGAGGCTTCATTAGGATTGCATTTGCATTAAGTGAAGCTCTCCTAATAGTTATTAGAATATATGTCAAGGAACTTGTTTAAAGGAAAACATAGCTGTCACCACCTTCACATGACTGTTTGCATTTTACCCACTGCACCCAGCCTACCCTTATGCAAACAGATTTTTACATGGCTGTAGCCACAGAGCCACCAGTTACCTCTTAATTCCCATACACACCTCCGCCTTGATTTTCCCCGCTCCGTTCCTCCACCTGTTCTCTAGGGCCTAATACCACCAGCATCTCAGAGAAGGTTACGGACTCAGGGACCCTGTGGAATACTAATCTCAACCCTTTTGAGACCTTAAGATGGCCTCAGCTTCCTCTGGTCTACAGAAGTGGTAGGAAGAGTTGCTGAAGCAGGCAACGGCAGGAAATGCTCAGAGTCGAAATGACCTGAACGTAATAAATCATAGTCATCCTTTTTTTTTTTCTGTAAAGGCCCAGCTAGTAAATATTTTGGGCTTTGTGAGCCATACAGTCTCTGTCGCGGCTATGCAACAATGCCACTGTAGTGTGAAGGCAGCCACAGACAGTATGTAAATGATGGGCATGACTGGCTGTTTTAATAAAACTTTATTTGTGAAAACAGGCCAGGGGCCAGATTTGAGCCAGGGCCATAATTTGCCAATTCTTGCTTTTAGGGCTTTTCTTTTTAAGAGTCTTCAAGCCACTGCCATGTACAAACCTCAAGCAGCCATTCTGTAGACTGTCTAGACACCCTCCCCATTTCACAGAAGAAAAAAACGAGGCCCAGGGAGTGGCTAGCCTTCACTTTATAGAGAGAGGCAGGTCTGGTATCTCCACCCCATCACAGAATCTCCAACTCTGGTCCCTCCTGTCCCAACTCCAAGCACATGTCCTGTTCAGCAGGGAAGAGGCCCTGGGTCACACCCACTGGCACCCTGGGGAACACCCCGGAAACACTGGGAGCCATCCCGCTGGGTGTATGTTGTTTTCCACTCCTCCATGTGCAGGGTGCAACCAGGCTGAGTCAGCTGGAGGCCCAGCCCTGCCCTGGGAATGGGAGGAACTGCCCCCTGGGCTTCAGCCCTGCCCAGGCTGGTGAAGGCTGCAGCTGGCCAGAGGTGACAGGGCGTGATGCCTCCGCTTCCCTCACCAGAAGGACAGATTAGTGCAGGCAAAAATACAGAGAAGGGTCTAAGGCATTTCTGAGGTCTCCCCTTAGGAAAGGAGTGTGTGTGTGTGTGTGTGTGTGTGTGTGTGTGTGTGTGTTGGGGGAGGGGTGGCAGGAAACGTGTCCTCCAGCAGGTGCCCCTCAAGTCATATTCACCCTTGAATCACCTCCCACTAAGTTAATTCAGCAAGCTGGCTAAGAGTGTGGTCTCTGGAGCCCGGCTTCAGGGTTCAAATATCGGCTCTGCCTCATGAGGGAAGTTTTGGGGTAACGGAAGGGTTCTCAAACCAAATTGTGGTGATGGTTGCACAACTCAGTAAGTCTCCTAATAATCATTGAATTGTATACTTAAGAAAATCCTGGCGCGGCCATGTAAAGCTGTGTGATCTTGGGCGTGTTACTTAACCTCCTTGTGCCTCAGTCTCTCCATCTGACAAACAGGAATTATAGTACCTGCATCACTGACTACATGGGGGTTGCTAGATGAGGGTCCAATGAGTCAACAACATACGGACTTTAGAATGGTACCTTGCACCTGACAAGGGGTCAGTAAGCATTTGCTACACAGGCGAGGAAAGGTGTTCGGGTCTCACAGAGTTGTTACACTTGGCAGCACACATGTATTAGTAAGTTCCTAAACTGTGCCTCCAAACTACTCTGCCCCTCCTAGGCTTTGCTCCTGCTCTTTGCTCTACATGATGCTAGATGCCCTTCCCTCTCAGCTCAAACCCTAGTTCCAAGCTGAGGTCATCTCTCTTCTCTGCTCCTTATGCACTTCATTTTTTAAAGATTTTTATTTACTTATTAGAGAGAGAGAGAGAGAGAAAGAGCGGTGGGGAGGGGCAGAGGGGGAGAGAGAGAGAGAGAAGAGAAGCAGACTCCCGGCTGAGCAGGAATCCCAATGCGGGACTCGATCCCAGGACCCAGAGATCATGACCTGAGCCGAAGGCAGACGCTTAACCGACTGAGCCACCGAGGCACCCCTTATGCACTTCATTTTTTATCGCAAAGGCTCAGAATGGTCTAATCGGCATATGGTTAGCTATGTTCACCCACTGGTCTGAGATCTTTGGGCCAGGAAGAGGTGATATCTTGTTTGTCCTGCTCCTGTCCAGGTGCCTCGTGTCCCCACTATGACAACCCGGGCGCTGAACTGAATCCAACAGCAGGGGCTGAGGCTTTACCACCCTCTTGTGGGCCGTGGTACAGTGGCCATAAAGGTCAGAGAAGACAGTGGGGTGACAATGAAGGCAGGTGAGTGAAAGCTGTGCGGGGTGATTGTCTTTGGGCCCAGAGCTTCAGCTCATACACAAGAAGTGAACTCCTGTCCCCATCGCACTGGTTTCCCCTCAGTTATAGAGGGTACAAATTGCAAAAAGATGCAGTGAACAGGTGACCCACAGCCAGAGCGCCAGGGCCGGGCTGGCTTGGTGATTCCAGATGCCTGCAGAGGTATACCACCCTGACTCAAGGGGCCAGGGGCGGCTGCCCGTCGGGAGGGGCTTCCCTGGCCTCCACTGTCCCATCTTGGTCTCCTGGGGCTGAGCCCATAGACGACCCGGGCCCCAGGCTCAGCTGGTGAGATCCTGTGACCCCAGGAAGCGACCCTGGTGTCTTGCAGCGACTGGTAATCTCGCCAGCAGTGGCTTCTGTCGATTTTTCCTGGGCCTCCCCTGTGCAGAGCCAAGCGTGTCAGCACCCAGATAGGAAGAGAGGGGGGCAGAAGGGATACCCCCTGGTCCTCGGTAGGGGGAACAAGCCCCAGGAAGCCTTTCTGACAACAATAACTCAGACATAAGTTTCACCGGGGAGGGAAAATAATCACCTCGGACGAGCGGCCGGGGCCTCTCTCCTTCCCCGCACCTCTGCCCGGTCGGCCCTTTCCCGGGACAGCCGAGCCGGGCAGCCTCCCCTTCCCGGCAGCGCCTCCGCGGCCCGGCGCGCAGGTTGCAACGTGTTCCTTCCCGGCCGCACCTCCCGCGCTCCCCGCCGCCCCTCCGGGGCCCGGGGCCCGCCACCCCGCGCGCTCGCTTACCGAAGTCCCGGCTCCCCTCCTCCGGGGTCTCCTGGGTGAAAATCCAGGGGGGGTTGGTGGCGTAGAGGGAGGTGCTGGGAGGGTTGGCGTGCTTCTTGCCGAAGAGTTTGCTGAAGGTGCCCTGCACCGTCTGGTTCTTTTTCATGCTGCCGCCGGCCGCGCGGCACCCGGGGAAGGACCTTCCCTCCCTCGGCCTTGCCCTGCCCGGGACCCAACTCCGCACCGGTTCCCCACTGGCCCCTAACAGGCCATGCCCCCCTCCCCGGCCGGCTCCCCGCCCGGCTCCCCGCCCGCGCGCACCGGCGACAGGTGCTGCGGGCGCCGCCGCTCGCCTAGAAATGCGAGCCACCTGGCCAGGTAAGAGGCTGCCGCCGGGCCCCGGCCCCGCCCCGCCGCCGCCACCGCCGCGGCCGCCCCGCCGCCCGACTCCCCCGGCCGCATTCCTGCCCTCCTCCCTCGACAACAGGCCATTGTTGGCACGGCCCGGTGGGCTGGGGACCTCGCCCAGCCCACGCCCAGCCTGGAAGACGAGCGGCCGGCCTCCCCCAGGTCCCCTCCTGGCCCTCCTCCTCCACCCCTTTCCTCCCTGGGCGAGGGAGGAGGCGGGCTAGTCCCCTACTTCTAGGGAGGTTCATGACCAGGTCAGTATGGGCGCTTCGGAAACGACTCAGGCCCGGCACTGGGAGCAATGGCTGCCCAAAGCGGGCACGTTGCAGAGTTCTGCAGGCCCTCAAAAATGTGGGCCACGAGCCTTCAGTGGATTATAAGGAAGTGCCCATCAGAAAAAAAAAAAAAAAAAGGAGGAAAAGCAATAAAGGAGGATCGCTATCCGGTGACAAAGGTGGAAAAATTAGCTACAGTGACCGAGCTCCAAAGAGAATGCAGGACGACTAAATCTTGGCAATTTTTTGTACATCAAATTCCCCTTTCTGGGAAGTGAAGTGAATATAATTTTTAGAAACTCAAGGTGGGTTAAGTAAATGTAATTTTTTAAAAACTCAGGGTGGGTCGAGCCCACTTAGGTTCAGTTTCTTCCCCCAGAGAGAGGAGCTGTGGCCCTTTATGGTGCTCTGGAGGACAGTGGGAGCTGGGGAGGACAGTCATAGCTGGGGAGCTGGGGAGGACAGTCGTAGCTGGGCTGGGCCAAGGCCGCAGCCCTAGGGGGTCCTGGGAGTTGATGACTGGGAGACTGTGTGCAAGGTGCTGAGAGTAGGGGATGAGCCAGGCCAAGGGGTTGGATTTCCATGCTTCCTGGCAGCAGGCATGGATGGCTGGGTGGGGGTGACCAGTCACAGACAGAGCCTGTATTTCCCCCCAGCGCCCCCAGACAGTTGCAGGTGTCCAGCAATTTGTGTCAAAGGTGGTTCCCCCTTAACTTTTCATTCTGAAAAATTTGGCAGACTCGTAAAATGACCACCTGTACACGTTTCTCCTGGATTGTCAACATGTCACCACATTTGCACACATGCCCTCTCTACACACAGGCACACACACACACACACTTTATGTTTTCATTTTCATTTGCTAAAGGTAGAAATGTGTAGAATCCGGGCCCAGCTCCCCATGCATACCCATACATCAATATCCCTTGCCTAAGAATCAGAACATTCTTTGAAGTGACTGCAATAGTCATCACGCTGAAGTATTAAACATTTCCCCGTTATCCCCCAAATGTCAGTTTTATTTTTTTCACAATCCACAGTCCAGTCAAGAGTCACACATTGCATTTGCTTGTCATATGCCTTTAAGTTCTGACTTAGTACCGTCCCCTGGTTTTGTTTTTCATGACTGTGACATTTTTTTAAAGTCCCCTTTACTTGCTCTAGGTTAAGGGACAGGATGAGTTGGGCTTTTAGGGCTTGTGGCTATGAGGTCATTGTTTTCCCAGCAGGAGGGAAGAGACTGAGGAACAGATGGGCTTGGGGTTGGGGGAGGGAGGAATAGGAGCATCTTTAGAAACCCTTGTGTTCCCCAAATGTTTTTGGCTGGAGACACGCCTGTGGTCCACCCTGTCCCACCCACCCACTACCGTGGCAGTCCTGAGACCCACTGCCGTTCATTCAAGGAGCAGTTATGGGGGCTCTCCCAACTGCCTGGTTCTGGGTTGAGGGTTTGGGGGTACATGGGAATATAGGAGAATTAGAGAAGCCTTATATCTACCATGGAGGATCTTGAGGTCTCATCAGGGAGATGAGGTTTACATGATCCAAGGTAGTAGACCATGATGACTAAGTTCAGAACAGTGATTGGTGTCACTCATACACATAGCAGGAATTCAGAGGAGGGGAAGTCAGCACGGGCTGGAGAAGTCCAGGAAGGCTTCTTGGAAGAATTGAGACTTGAGCTGGCCCATGAAAGATGACAAGGATGTTAATAGGGAAGGGGAGGACACACATACCCATACCATCCATCCCTCCACCCTCCTATCTCCGCATCATGGTTCCTCCCACCATCCACACAGGGAGAGCACAAGGGAAACCCAGATGCCCCAGCCTGCCCTGGACATCATCATACACTGCCCAAGTGCTCCAGACACTCAGGCATGAGATAGAGGCTTCTTTCTTGGAGACCTTGGAGCCATGAAGTTCTCCCACCTAGGGTAGCTCCTGGGCTCTTCTACCCTGATCCAGCCCCAGCAGAGCTACCAGGGAGTGGCTGCATTCATACGCAGCCCTCCACGACAGACCTGGTATTCTAGAGAACTGCTCTGCAGCAGCTGTGGGCTGTGAAGGGTCCAGAGAAACCAAGACATGGCATCAAAGTTCAAGTTGCTGTAGTCTATCTGGGGAGACGGAGAGAGATATGTGGAGAGATGAAGCGGGGAAGTAAAGGAGGAGGAGGAGACTAAGGGGGACAGAGGTTCAGATCAGCAGCAGCGGCGGGGGGGTGCTGAAGCATCTGGGGAGGGCATGCAGAAGGTGGGAGGGACGCAGCAGGAGCTCAGCGTGGTGGAAGCTGGGAACTGGGGGGTGAGAGGGAGGTCACGGCAAGGTTGGCCAGGGTATCATTGGCTTAAAAAGACCAGTTGGTAAGATCGGAAGCCGCCTAAATTGTCCATCTGGAGATGACTAGTTAAGTAAATTATGGCACGTCAACACAATGGAATAATGCAACTCTAAAGAAGAATGAGTCAGCCGACTGTGTCCAGTTATCTCCGAGATAAACTGATAAACTGTTGACAAAACGGTGTGTATAGTTTGCTACTATTTGGGGCAAGATAAGTATGATCTTATTTGTATCGGCACAGAAAAACTTTGGATACATAAGAAACTAATAAAGTGGTTACTGGGGGTGGAGATGGGGGGAAACTGGGCAGTTGGGGGATAGAAGTGGGAGGGAGAATTTTGACGGAGTGCCTTTTTATACTTTTTCATTTTCCAACCATGTAAATGTATTTGCTGTTCAAAAATAGAAAGTGTGAGGGGCACCTGGGTGGCTCAGTCATTAAGCGTTTGCCTTCGGCTCAGGTCATGATCCTGTGGTCTTGGGATCGAGCCCCACATCAGGCTTCCTGCTCCGTGGGAAGCCTGCTTCTCCCTCTCCCGCTCCCCCTGCTTGTGTTCCCTCTCTCGCTGTCTCTCTCTCTCTGTCAAATACATAAATAAAATCTTAAAAAAAAATACAGTTTAAAAAAGCAAAAATAAAAAGTGTGTCAACTATACTTCAATTAAAAATGAAGACTAGGGCACCTGGGTGGGTCAGTCGGTTAAGTGTCTGCCTTCAGCTCAGGTCATGATCCCAGGTCCTGGGATCGAGCTCCCTGCTTAGCAGGGAGTCTGCTTCTCCCTCTCCCTCTCCCTCTGCCCCTCCCCTGGCTTGTGCGCTTGATCACTCACTCTCTTTATCAAAGAAATAAAATCTTAAAAAAATAAAAATAAGAATAAAAAAATTAAAGAAAAATAAGTAGGAGAGTCTAGAAGTCTGGTCCGTGAGCAAGCAGCATCTGTATCACCTGGAATCTTACTAGGACTGTAGAAATCTACTAGAACTGGAGAAAGCCCATCCCAGACATTGGGCAACCTCTCTGGGCCTCAGTTTCTCTGTCAAACAGGCTATTAATTTAAGGTTGTTATGAGATGCAGTGAGCTGATGGATTAAGGTACCCAGCAGAGGATCTATGTTTTAACAAGGTCCCCAGGTGACTCAGGAGCATGTTAAGGTTTGAGGAGCTCTGGCCTAGAATCAGTGGTTACCAGGAGCAGGTGCTGGTGACTGGTAACAGCTGTGGGGTTTTGTATATTTGTTTGTTTTTTAAGTAATCCCAACACCCAACCTGGGGCTCGAACTCATGACCCAGAGATCAAGAGTCGCCCGCTCCACTGACTGAGCCAGCCAGGCTCCCCAACAGCTACGTTTTGAGGATGCTCATCTAGCAGCAGGATGAAGGACAATGGGAAGAAGAAAGTGGAGGCTAAGGGGCTAAGGGGAGCTGCTCAATTGGTCAGTTAATTGGTTAGTGAGTGAGTTAATACAAGCAGGAGGGGAGTGGGGGCAGGACTTGTCTGCCGGTGGTAGAAACACAGCAAAGTTTTTAGTCTATGGGACATTTCTTAGGAAGAAAGGGAGGTCTTGATGGACAGTTTGCATATAGGGGAAGTAAAAAATGCTCTGAGCTGGTTTCCTCATCTTTTTTTAAAAGATTTTATTTGAGATAGAGAAGGATAACGCGAGCACAAGCCGGGGGGCGGGGAGGAGGAGAGGGAGAAGCAGGGTCCCCACTGAGCAGGTTGCCCAACACGGGGCTCCATCCCAGGACCCTAAGATCATGACCTGAGCTGAAGGCAGACAACTTAACCAACTGAGGCACCCAGACGCCCCTGGTTTCCTCATCTGTAGCATGGGAGTAATAGTGCCCCTCCTAGGATTGTCAGGAAGATTCAGTAAGATCATGGGTGTGCAATACCAGCACAGGGCCTGGTGCCCATGCATGCTCCCCAAGTGTTTGTTCATTTCTCCGCCCTGCTGGCCCCCTGCTTTCTGGGTGCGTTTGGGCCACAAATGGAGGAAGAGAGAGAATTGGTGTGATCTTGAACACCAGAAGCCTGGCAGGCTGCCGAGTCTGAATGTCAGGGTTCTTTTTGCCCTTTCCCCACCCATTTCACCCGGATTGCAGTCCCACGTTGGCGGGGGCTGGTCGGGGGGGCA